GAGCGCCACCGCGCTTCCCAAGCGGCGCACTACCCAGTGCGCCACCGGGCCGGCCCCAATATACGCTATTTTTGAAGAATAATTAATGGCCTGGTATAATGCTCACAATATATCATGAAGAATAAAAGGTAGAACACAGTGATTTAAAAATTTTGTTGAAAAATAAATATGTATCATATAGCAGGCAGGGAAAATGTTAGAAAACACACTAAATTATGATCAGTGGTTATTTCTGGGTAGCAAAATTACAGGTTATTTTTACATTTTATTCTTTTACATATTTTCCATTAACTACATATTCACATAACCAGAAAAATAGTAATTTTAAAAAATAAAGCAGGAAGTCAACATTTTGCACTGTGTATCACAAGAAGATAACTTTTATGGAAAGAAATTTTTATACGAGGTAGATACAAGCCAAGTTTGTGCATTTGCGATTGCAAATTAAGCACTTCATACGGGTAAGGGCCTACAACAGTTGGATGACCACTCCACGGGAAAACTGTACTGATTTCCGTGGAGCGAAGATCTGACAAGAAGGACAGTCAGAGCCAGAAGAGCTGGAAATGGCAAAAGCAAGGCATGGCTCCTGACCACTGTATTAGCCCGTTTCTGTTGCTTATAACAAACTATCTGGAACTGGGTAATGTGTAGAGAAACAATATTTATTGCTTACAGTTTCAGAGGCTAGGGAGTTCAAAGTCCAGGAAACACAGCAGATGAGGCAACTCTACAGTAATGCAGGGTGTCACATGGTGAGAATGGCTGAGCAGAGAGAGAGACTAACCTCCTCCTTCACTCTCTGTTAAAGCCACCAGAACCACTCCCATTATTCCAAGAATGCATCAGTCCACTCACGAGGATACAGTCCTCACAATCTAATCACCTCTTCAAGGCCTCACCTTTCAATTACCATAACAGGATTTCCCACCTTCTTAACACTGTCAGAGGGGACCAAGCCTCTAACACATTAAACTCTGGGGGGACACAATCCATAATAACCACTGACCACAGAGACATTCTTTCCCCATCTAAGAAGATGGATGTGATTCATAAGGCCAGGGGCTAATGAGTTTTGGAGGAGACAGCTGGCAGTCTTGCCCAAGCTTTCTAAGGCCACCAAGTTCCTGAAGGTCATCCTAACCTTTCACCCTACAACTGCATACACACATGCACATGTGTGTTCCACACACTGCACACCAAATGCACAGCCTGTGTGAAAAGTTCAGTGTACACATGCATCACCCTCTGGAGCTGAACAGTGGGCACTTTATATGTCCCAAGTGGCGGGACAACAGCCCTCTCAGCTGGGCAGATGTCCTAGTTATTATTCCAGAGTGATACTAGGGAAAAGAACAGGCTGGGGTGTGTTGTTCCCTAAAATCCCTCTTTTTAAAATAATGATTTTAATACCAGGTCTCCTATGCCTACCTTTGAAACCAACCAGTGTGGCAAAATGGCCATGAGGCTTTCCTGCTCTCTGAAAGTAGTGAGGAAGTAGAGGGCCAGGGTAGCACATGCTTGGGTGACCAAATCAGAGACCAGGGCATCTGAATGACAGCCTTGCAGCTTTGCAGAAATAAGTAGCCAGGCCCAAATGAGGGAGTACCCCACGCAAGTGCTCACCTCTGAGTCCCCTGCGTGGGTGACCAAATCAGAGACCAGGGCATCTGAATGACAGCCTTGCAGCTTTGCAGAAATAAGGAGCCAGGCCCAAATGAGGGAGTACCCCACGCAAGTGCTCACCTCTGAGTCCCCTGCCCTGGCCGTGCTCTAGGTCTGGACCTTCAATGATTATCGGGTAAAGAGGAGAAGAAGGCAGTGCAAGATGGGCCACCCTGCTCAGGCCACTGCTATATCCACTATAATGAATGCTGTTCTCATTAAGATAATTTGTGTTTAAGTGACAGGACTATTCCTTTTATACTCAGCAGAGGCAAATAAGTCTAAACAAGAAGAGGTTGGTAGAGCATTAGGTGTTGAACCTTGTTCATTGGTGGCAGAGTCAGCAACATGCCCAGATTCCTGCTGGGGATACACATTCAGCGTCCCCTGGGGCTCGCTCACGAGCCAAGCGCCTCCTCCCTTAACCCAAGTTTCCCAGAAGTGTCATTCAAATTGATGCCTCAGCAAAATTGCCAAGTATTAGTAGTTTCTCACAAGCTATGGAAATGGCCAATACAGTAAGTCTGCCAAAAGCCAGCATTCTATTACATGTAGAGACTGCTGTTGGTCCTCACCTGGGTATAACTGCCAGGGTTCTCTAAGCAGCACATAGCAGAGGAACACGTGTCTAGGGCAGGAATCACTGCTTCCACAGGCTGGAGGTCCCTCTGTCACTCAGCCAAAGCTGAGGTTACAAATCTTTACATGAGGCTGGTACTGAGAACCATCACTGTGTGTTAACAAAGAACTTCTACAGAAATCTTGTTCAATGCCAAGTGAATGCAGTTCATTTTGACAGCACCATTTTACAGGGGCCACCAACTTCCATTCTGCCCACTCACCAGCTTGTAACATGCAGGTGTGCCACATAAACCTGGGCATGCAGACAATCAGGACCCCAGAGTAGACCCTGCTCTCTTGGAACAAGTCCACCTGTGCAGGCACCTGCTATGCTCTCCGGCCCTGGGCCTTGTCTCTGGAAAGCCTTCTGATAGGTGCCCAAACGGGGAGCTCCCAGGCCACCCTCAGTACAACCACCATACATATGTGGGTCCTTGCCAGCTTTTCTGCTGTACAATCTGGGAGGGGGTGTCAGAATCTCGTTATGCACAGTCTTCATGGAAATCAAGCACAAGTCCCCGCTGGGATTTTCAAGAGAATAGTGATATAAGATACCAGGCAAGCCCACATGCTTTTCCTGACCACCTGACTCAACCTGGATCATTCAGAATGTCTGAATCATCCTTTGAAGTTACAGAGCTAATCCCAGCAATAAATTTTTTATGTGTTTTTTTCCTGAGCTAACCTCACCTACACAAAAGTCTCTTTAATTGCTAAAAAACATGCTTATCCTGGTATTTAACAGTATGTGTTGGTGTTTTCTTTTAATTAAGTAAGCTTAGGAGATACATAGTTAAACAAAAATTTTAAATAAGTTTTAAAAGTACCTGAAAAATTCCATGAAAGAGAATCCATACCCATGCTGCTCTGCAATTCCCGCACAAACAACATTTGCTGATGCTCCAATCAAGGTTCCATTACCTGAAATCAAAGTTTAAAATATAAAATAAAACCTCAGTTTATCCTGGCAATAGGCTCCTGTTCTCTTTTGTTCTGTAATATTTGTAGCATCTCACAGGCTTTGATTTGATGATTACATTATAGGCATTATCCAAGCAACTGCTTTGCAAATATCTAGAAACACATGCACACACATGAGCAACCAGAAAATACATTCCTGCTTGTAAATACCATGATTCATTTATGGATGGGATTATGGCTGTTCTGTTTGATAGAAAAGAGGAAATACGAAGGAGAAGGGGCAAGTCGCCATGGAACCAGGTGGCACATATCTTTTAGAGAAACATGCATGCAGGGCCAACCACCATAGTGAGATGTATGCTCTATGGAGCAGTGGAATGAAGTCTCAAGGGAAACCACCTGCCTCAGGACTCCAGGCTCAGACACCCACCAGGAAATCCTTCCAGTGATTTCACCAGATGAAAGGGTAGATAAAAGCAAGAGGGTAAAACCACTTTACCGGGCATTTGTCATCAAAGAGCATCTCCTTGACATAAAAGCCTCCACAGGCAAGCCTTTGTTGACTGTGCACACAAAGTAGGGAGACATTCTGTAGACACACGTGCATGTGCCAGTCCTTGTGGCCTGGGTGGGGAATAGGGCCAGGTCTACCCATGCCACACACACCCCTATGGATGGATGAATATGCACGGCCAGGCCAATGAGCCTCTTCTATGCCTCCAAGCCACGGTGGTCAGTGTTTGGGGACAGGCATGGCTCAGGCCTAGCCAACTTGCTCGGTTCTGACATCTGTGCTTAAATTGTGGAGGAAGAGACTCTTTCTACCGAGGATTGGTGAGTTGTGAGATGCTGCTCTGAGGCTGCCTATAGCAAGTCAGCATGAAGGAACAGCCTTTCTGAGACTGGACAACATAGATAACAGAGCATGAAGGACCAGTGCCCCAATGAAGAAACGACGGCACAGAGAGGCTGAGCAGAGCAGCATGCCAACGTGTCAGGGCTGGGAAGGGCAAGCCCTAAACTTGAACCCTGTGTCTGACTCAGAGGAAGATCAGAGACAGCAGGATTCGGCTGCCTGAGGTGTCTGAAGGGTCCGGAGCAGGCAAGGATGTGCACATCACAGCAGCATGACCCCAGTCAGCCTCCTCTGGGTGCCATCGAGCAGATGCTCCTATCCCATTGCCCTGCCTGCCAGCCCAGCTCCTGTCCTGGGTGAGAGACCTGCCAAATGAGACTCAGAACCATGCCACGCCACCCTGCCTGGCAATCACTTCCCATGGTCTGACAATTCTCCTCCCACAGGGAAGCCAGTGCTCCTCGGAGGGGCCTGTCCTGCCCAGCCCCAGAAGAGAATGCCCCTTGGTGCCAGGATAGCATCTGCCCTGCACCCCCAAACACTTCTAACTCCAGGACATAACAAGAGCTCCACTTCTGTACAAAATGGAGCTCAATGTGTGACCCCAGTTCACATTCAGCAATCTGTGTGAGCTCTAAAAATAAAATGCAGCATTTATTTTCTCTCCATTAAGGATTTATGATTGAAAATCTACCCCTTCTAGAATTAAAATGGCAATTTTGCAGGCAGGAACTGCCTGGATGGGGAGCATCTCATCCTGCCTGCAGCACGTGTGAATTCCTGTGACGAACTGTGTGCCAGAAACACTGTCCACTTCCTTTCTCAGTTGCCAAGGAGAACTGACTAAGTAGGCTGTTTTGCTCCTGAAATAGGAAGCAATAGGAAGGAGGTTTTTCTAGAGTCTACGGGGAGGATAACAGTGGGTCCCTGGCCGCACTACAACATGGATGTGTGAGAAAGGCGAGGGGTAAGGATGAGGGGTCACAGGGAGGCGCAGCGGCCCAGGCATTCTCCTCAGAGAAGGAGTTGTGCAGAGACATGAGCAAGGGCAGGGCTGATGTGGTCGTGGAAGCCTTCTCAGGAACACAGCATGGATGGCACTAGAGGGACTTCTGTCCCCCCAAAATCCTCCCTGCACCAGAGTATGTCCTCAGAGCTCAACCTGCCTCCCAAGGTCCCGCCTTCTTGGCCATCCCTCTGCATGAAGACATGTGGCTTCAGAAGTCCCATGACCTGGGAGATGGGATGTTAACTCCGTAAGTCTCACTGAGCCCTGTATCCCTTAAGAATGCTTCCAGTTACAGGCAGCAGACCTGACTAACAGCAGCTAACCCCACAGGGCGTCATCTCCTCCTGTGGAAGGAGCAGCTTGGAGGCAGGAGGCTGGTCAGTCTCCTAATGTCAGAGGTGGGTCTCCACAGTTCTCTTGGGGCTCCTTCATGTCATAGGATGGCATTACAGCCATATCTAAGGCAGGGAGGCATGGAGGAGAGCTGGCACCAATGTGTTTTTATCAGAAGGCAAAAGCTATATCAAAAGGCTCCAAACAGACTTCCTTGGTGTCTTATTGGACAGCAAAACAGGACAAGCAAAGCTGGTATGCTGCTAAAGTGGCATGGCAGTGGGCACAGTGGGGGGCAGAAAATGGGGGGATGCCGGGTCAGCCCCCAGCAGGTCCTGCACAAATGTGTTGGAAGTAAAGGATGTCAGTCAGTATATCAGGAAGAATGCCAGATGTGGGTTCAGGAGGCCTCGGGTGAAGTCTCTAGTTTCCTCAGCTTTGTGATTTGAGCAAATCATTGCCTATTTCTGTTATATTAAAATGCATTTGGGGCCGGCCCTATGGCTCACTCGGGAGAGTGCAGTGCTGGTAGCGCCGAGGCCGTGGGTTCGGATCCTATATAGGGATGGCCGGTGTGCTTACTGGCTGAGTGTGGTGCAGACAACACCTAGCCAAGGGTTGTGATCCCCTTACCGGTCAAAAAAAAAAAAAAAATGTTTTTGGTTTTGAGGAAAGGAAGACGCAGAACAAGACGGTGTCAACAACAGGGAGCATTCAGCTCCCGTGTGACAGGCAGCCAGAGGTGGAAGCAGGGAAAGAGGCGTCTGCTGCAGGGCTCCATGGTGCCCTCAGGACCTGCCATCCCCACCTGTGTGCCCTGCACACTCAGCCACACGCAGAGCTGAGCACACTCGGGCTGTGTCCAGAGGAAAGGGCAGGACCAGGGATGTCATTACCAGAAGCCCTTCCTCCACCTAGAAGACACCCACAAGACTCCTTGATTCCCGATGGCTTTGCCTGCCCACCTCCACGTCAGTCACTGGCCAGGCGCAGGAATCTGTCTGCCTGTCCCTGACTAGCACCAGCAGGAGAAGAGATATAGGGGAGCCAGCTACATCTGTGTCAAGTGGGGATGCTGCCGCCTCCCGAGGCATCTCATAGGGAAGTTCTGGGGTCCACAGAAAATTAAGAATGTGAGTGCACCGTTCAGATGCCAGCGGTTTGCAGCAGTTTAGTAGATACTAGCAGGGTTGTGACGGCACCCAGTGTGGCAGGGGCTCCATGTGACAGGGAGAAAGAGGTCCTGGTGTCGCTACCTCAGCTCAAGCCTCCTTCCCAATTTCCACAGTTGGAGAAGTGAACGCAGGCTGGTGTGTGCACATGAACAGCTGCTGCCATGTGGGCACGTCGGGGCTATCCTACATGGGAAGATGACATAGGGATCTAGAGGCAGAACAACAACAGTTCTCAGGATTATTTCCCTGCCTTGTTTCTGATGAACACTGCAAACTGAGAATCTCCAGACTAATCTCCTGTGTCAGTCAGTGCAAGCTGGATTCAATGGGCCATGCTCTCTGACCAGGAATGATTTTCCACTTGACAGAAAACATAAAAATTAACTCTATGTACGGTGTTCCCTTTGGCAAGTTGAAAGCCACCTGTACTTTGAGATGTGAAGATGACCTAAGGACAGCAACAGCTTCAGCACAGCCATGTACCGCCTGGACTGTGCACAGCTTGGGGACACCCATGGTCTTCATTCCCATTGCTATCCACGCTCACATCACTCCACCCCCTCAGTCTCTCTGCCCTGGGATCTCACCTACCAGTGAGCCTTTGCACACAGACTTGCCTCTGCCTCTGCTTTCTAGACAACCCAGGCTAAGGCAAAGATTTCTTAAAGACTTATCAGAGTTGTTCTTAGCTCTTAGTAAAAAAAGCAACCAAACAGAGTTGGGGTCATAACGGTAAAGAATTTTTTTGTTTCAAACTATCTAGTGAATCACCCCCCATTTATATACCAAACTATTTTTCTAAATCTGACTCAAAACTTCTGTTTAAAGAGTTCTTCAAAAGGCCAAGCCTGAGGGAACAGGGAGTTATTGTTTCACGGGTATGGAGTTTCAGTTTGGGGTGATGACGAGTTCTGGTGAAGGATGGTGGTGACGACAGCTGCACAACAATGTGAACGTGCCCAGCACCACTGAACTGTGCACCTTGCAGTGGCTAAGTAGGTCAAGGGGTCCCCAAAGGAATGAATGTAGAGTTATCATTGAGCACAACTGGGCATCTGCTATGCCAGGAACAAGCACCATTCAACAACCAGAGCTATTAACTTTAAAAGATCCCAAGACTTAAAACCTTTATTATTCACTACAGCTGTGTCCCTGTTTCCAAACGTGCTCATGCAATAAGCGTTTGATCCTATTATAGGTTATTAGCCTATGAACGGTCTATGTTAATGTCTCTCCTTGAGAATCTCCTGCACGCTCATCCTACATGTTTTGGGGAAATCAGAACTAGCCCAGGAGGCTTCTCACCCTATAAAACCCTATTCAAAACCTCCCTTCCTGGAGAACCTTCTCATACCTTTCCCTCCTATCCCTTCTTGGTGCTCCCCGAGCTCTCTGGACATACCACTGTTAGAAGACATACCCATCTATGCTGTAACCTTAGTTTAGGTGACTATCTACCCCACTCAAGAGAGGGATGATCAATGAATGGTCCAGTACAATGTCAGGTTACAGCAGATACTCAGTAAGTGTGAATGAACAAAATCCACATAGGGGATACATTTCCAGGTGTCCCTGGATCTGTCTCTATGGCTGAGGTTGAAGACAGCTATGAATGAAGTTATTGCTTTTCCTGGGGCTTTTTCTTAGAAGGGAGAAATTTTAACAGTTCTGCACTCTCATAAGAACTTGAAGTCTCAATCACTGAATAAGTTGAATTAGCCGTCTCCAGAAATTATAGAAACTTCACGGATCACATTAATCTCCCTTCACAAACAAGGAGATAAACTAAGCAGAAAGTTATCGATTTAATGGTCAGAGATCAATCAAAGAATAAAGAAGACTGGCTTATCTAAGCATGCCTGGTTGTGAGAATAAAACTTAAAATGTATCTGTGTGTTTATCTGTGATTCTTCACAATCCTCCTGTCTTCCCAAAGGTGATAGGTTTTCTAAATGTGAGAAGAACTAACTCAGCTCCCTCCAGTACAACCTCATCCAAAGCCCCTGTGTTTGGTCACTAGAGGTCAGTCTCTCCTGACACTCTCTCTAATTCACTTTTCAATTTCTCCAAAGTATAACACTCCCACCTGCCATTGCCCAGTTGCCAACTCAGGAAATGTATTTTCAGTCTGACAAGCACTACCTGTCACTTCAGGGTTGACCACAATGTGGACACACCTCCCCATGCAGGTGCCCCCTTACCTCCCAGGCAGGCACCCAGGGCCAAGGCATACATGAGCGGCAGTACAGGAAGGCTGACCTCAGGGTCTTGGCTCAGGTTCAGGAGCACAGGAATCTGCAGAGGAAAAGGACATTGATACCACATACCAAGGAAGCTCAGAGGAGCTGCCATACTGTGACTTACAAAATCCAAAGCACTTTATCAGAAGTCAATAGTATATATGGAAGCAAACCAATGTGAATGTCACAAAAACTTGAGTTTGGACCTGTCTGTATGTCTTTAATTCCAGCCACATGACCAAATGGTCCTCCTTGTCCTCTGCTGCCTCAGCCGCTGCTGTGGATCTTAAGTGGGGTAAAGTCACATACTGTAGATTCTAACACAGCGCCTGGGAATATAACAATCTAACCAGCACTTACAAAACCCTGCATGTCCTGTGCTACCTCCAGGCATGCACCACCTTACTTAGTGCTCAAACTTCCTTCCGGTGTGCCTGTTATTCCTTCAACTGACAGACAAGAGGCACCAGAGCACAGATCCAGCAAGCAGCCAAGCCGGAACTCAAACACAGATCTCTGATTCCAAACTGCATGCTGGTGAGCCTGTGCTGAACTGTCACTCTCTACCAATCATCCTGACACTGATGACACTTGGAGCATGACAACAGGTGTCAGATTCTACAACTGGGAAGTATCATTCTCTAGTAAGTCATTCCAGCAGCTGGTGCACCTTTCCAACAGAGATAAATGTCACACTGTTGGAATCAATAAAACAGTAGTAGTGGTTGTGAAATTTTTATAAGTTGTGTTCAAAAACCACGTACCCTTGAGGCTTACGTTGCTAATGAAGAACAGGCAAGCACTTAGCCACTGAGCCTGCTGGAAGGCTCGGGGAGGATATAGGACCATACTGTCACTGCCAGGCACCTCAGGGCAGCCCATGAGGAACTAAGGAGGGACCCTGGACCCACTGCCTCAGGGCAGTTGCCATGTGTCAATCTCTCTAAAGAGCAGGCTCCCCATGCACCGTGTACTGTGATGTCAGTACAAGGCCAGCCTCCGCCCTACAGGACCACACGTGTCACTGGTACAGAAAAACAAAGAACAACTAAGCACAGGAAGCTGGGCCCTCATCAGAGGCACTGAAATACTGAAGGAGGAAGGAGTGCCTCCAGTCCTAGTGATGGTAAAAATCCAGCAAGTGCTCCTGTGCTGGGAGGTGCATCACCCAGGGCGAGAGAAAACCTACCCCATGGTCAAAACTGCATATTTACAAGTGCCAAATTCTGTGCAGAAAGTATGCTATGAAATTGTTTTGAAATCAAGCCCTCTCTGGGATTTGCAATTCAGATGAAAACCAGAACCCTAAACTCTGTCTCAATCAGGGATCTCCCTATAGCTCTTATGGCGTGACCTCCCAGTCCCTGCCTTGGTCGAGCCTCCACCCTTCCCACAGCATGAATGGGATGGTGTCTCCCTAGCCTCTCACTCACCATTTGCCCCTTTAGTTCCATCCTCTATGCAGCCAGCAGTAACCATCCTGTCTTCCAAATCTGATCTTGCCACTGGCTCCTTGAGCCCTCGCCTCCCATCTGAGGCAAGCCTACCTGTGCAAGGAGGCTCTCCTCTGCCTCAAACGCTCCAGTCTTCACAGGCCTGGACCCAAATGCTCCTGACCACTGCTGCACCTCTGCCCACGGACACTTCCACTTCTGTCCTCACGTCAGCCTCCCACTCAACCCATAAGAGGTTTGGCCAAGCTCCTTTGAAAGCACCCCCAAATCCCAGACTTGGCTGCTGTTTTACCCCAGAGCCCCCTTCCATCATCACATTTAACTCACATGTTCCTCCTCCACAGGACATGGCTGTCCATGCTCACTTATGTCTTAATTCGCTCAATAATTATTCATGAAGAACTACTTTGTGTCTGATACTCTAGATACAGGGGATATAGCAGTGAATACAACAGACAAAAATCCTTGCCCTATAATACAGAGATTGTATTATAGTGGACAGAAAAAAATTTTTTTTTTTTTTTGTCTTTTTGTCTTTTTTTTTTTTCATGACCGGCAACGGATCACAACCCTCAGTGTCGCGCCCGTACCGGACCGGGACCGGCAACGGGATCGCAACCCTTGGTGCTGCCCCCGTTCCTCGCTCAGCCAGTGAGTGGCCGGTCTGTATGTGGGATCCGAACCCTCGGCGGGAGCGCCGCCACGCTCCCAAGCGGCGCACTGTAGCAGTGCGCCACCGGGCCGGCCCCAGAAAAAAAATTTTTAATAATGAATAATGATGGCCAGAAATAGCAAAATAGGAAGCTCCAGAAATCCATCCCTCCAAGTAACTGTACTAGTTTCCTAGAGCTGCTGTAGCAAAGTACCACAAACTGGGTGACTTGAAATAACAGAAATTTATTGTCTGAAGGTTCTGAAGACTAGAAGTTAGAAAACAGGTGTGAACTAGCCCATGCTGTCTCTGATGGCTCTAGAGGAGACTCCTTCCTTGCCTCTTCTAGTTTCTGGTAGCTGCTGGCAATCCTTGGCTTACAGATGCAACACTCCAGTCACATGGCTGTCTTTTCCCTATGTCTTCCCTCTGTGCCTATCTGTGTCTAAGTCCAATTTTCCCCCTTTTATAAAGACAACAGTCATATTAGGTTAGGGCCCACTCTAACAACCTAATTTTAACTTAACTCTGTAAAGACCATATTTCCAAATAAGGTCACATTCTGAGGTACTTGGGGTTAGGACTCCAATATGTCTTTAGGAGACACAATTCAATCCAAACCAGTAACTATTTTGGAACTCAAAAGTGTAGTTAAACACTTTCATCAGCCAGGAAAGAGACTGATAAAGAGACTTGTAAATTTTGGTGAATTTTGGCCTTTTTCATAATGGCTACCATTTACCGTCTCCCTGAACTATCTCAGGAAGCTGTGGGGTATAGCAGCTCATATTTCTGGTGTGACTTGCTGATACCAGAGTAGGCAATAAAGACCTTGTCCTCCAAAACGTAGGGTTGCGGGTATTGATTGCTGGCCACTGCTTTTGATCACTGAGGGGCCAGTACAGAGGCCGGCAATTGTTTGAACCCCCAAGGGATGAAGTGTCTTCCAGGGGGTTTAAAAAGACAGTACTTGTTGCTCCACTTCACCCCTCTTTGGGCAGCCAAACATTTAAGGAAATCTTTGTCAGTCCACTAGTTGACTGCAGAGATAACAGAAGAGAAACTTCAATGACCACACACAACAAAGAGTACATATACTGCAAAAAAAAGTCTGAAAATGTCACAAATGAATGGCCCCACCCCTCAACAAGCAAGATCTAGCAATTCTGAGGAAAGGGAGAATTACATCTGCAATGTTACCATAACAACATAATACTCAAAATATACAGTTTTCAACAACAACAAAAAAATCACACAACATACAAAGAAATAGGAGAGTATGGCCCATTCACAAGAAAAAAAGAATTTGACAGAAATCATCCTGGAGAAAGTCTAGACATTAGAGTTATCAGTAAAAGACAATAAATCAACTACCTTAAATATGTTCAATAGCTACAGAAAATCATGAGTAAAGAGCTAAAGGAATTCAGGAAAATGATGTATAAACAAAGTAAGATTAGTAATAGACAGAAATTACAAAAAGGAATCAAACAAATTTTGGAGCTGAAAAGCCCAATAACTGAAATTAAAAACTCAGTAGAGGAGGGCCAAGCCCGCAGCGCACTCGGGAGAGTGCAGCGCTGGGAGCGCAGCGATGCTCCCGCCGCGGGTTCGGATCCTATATAGGAATGGCCGGTGCACTCACTGGCTGAGCGCAGTGCGGGTGACACCACACCAAGGGTTGCGATCCCCTTACCGGTCAAGGAAAAGACAAAAAAAAAAACTCACTAGAGGAGCTGAATAGCAGATTTGAGCAGGCAGAAGAAAGGATCAGTGAACTTAGAGATAAGACCTCTGAACTTATCAAGTCTGAGGAACAGAAAGTGAAAAGAATAAAGAAAAATGAACAGAGGCTGAAAGACCTGTGGGACACCATCAAACATACCAACATATGCATTATAGGAATTCCATAAGGAAAAGATGAAGGGGAAGGAGCAGAGAAAATATTTAAAGATATAATGGCCAAAACATTCCCAAATTTGAGGAAAGACATGATTATACATGCCCCCCAAAATAAATAAACTCCAAATAGGGTAAGCTCAAGGATATCTAGACTGATGCATTATAGTCAAATTATCAAAATTGAAAGATAGAGAGTTTTAAAAGCAGCAAACAAAAAAGAAACTCATCATGAATAAGAGATAATCAATAAAATAACAACTGATTTCTCCTCAGAAACTATGAAGGACAGAGGCAATGGGATAATAAATTTAAAGTCCTAAAAGGAAAACAAACAAACAAACCTGTCAATCAAGAATTCTATGTCTGGTAAAATTATCCTTCAAGAATAAAAAAAAAAAGACATTTCCAGATAAGCAAAATCTGAAGGAATTCATTACCAGTATACCTGCCCTACAAGAAATGTTAGACAATATACTCCAGGCTAAAATAAAAGGACACTAGAGAGTAACTCAAAGTCATTAAAAAAATAAAACAAAAGAACATCAACAAAAGTCACTACTACATAGGTAAATATAAAAGCCAATATTATTGTATTTTTGCTATGGCTTGTAACTTCTCTTTTTCCTATATGATTTAATAGGCAAATTCAGAAAATAATAATTACAAATCTACGTTAATGGGCATATAGTTCATAAAGATGTAACTGTGACAATAACAATAAAGTTGGTATTATTCAAACCAGGTTGTTATAAATTTAAGATTTTAATTGTAATTCCCAAGGTAACCACTAAGAATATAGAAAAGCAAAAAAGAAAGGAATCAAAATTGCACACTACAAAAAATCAACTAAATTTTTAAAAAGGCAGTAATGAAGAAATTGAGTAACAAAAAACATCTAAGATATGCAGAAAACAAATATATAAATGATAAAGTAACTTCTCCTTTATCAGTAATTACATTAAATGTAAATGAACAAAAATCTCCATTAAAAACCAGAGATTGGCAGATTGGATTAAAAACAGGATCCAGATATACATTGTTAACAAG